ATATTAAATACATATTCTCTAGCACTGCTTCCTCAGAATTTTGCTTCAGTAAAACACAGATGAAGCCCAAGAATCTGCATTTCTTGCAGAGTTGGGTCAGGTGCAGATTTTCTAAGGACATGAACTTGAAAAACGTGTGAAAATTGTTAACTATGTGAACGGACAACAAGGCAGGTTTAGCTAACTCAGATCACTCCTTCACCTCCTATGTAAAGAGTAAATAAATCTGATTAAAAGCATGACAAATATACATTTTAGCATTTATCTAAGCTCCTAATAAAGGAAGGACAATACCAGATATGAGAAATGAAGAGGGAACGCACCCAAGCCTAGTAAACTAAGAAGGTCCAATGATTTGCAGAGTAGGCACAGGCGTTATGGTCTGGTGGTTCCTGTTTTATCTTCACACCAGGAAGATGTAAGGACTTGTTCTTATCCAGGAACAGAGAACTGAACCAAGATCTTTGCATAAACCCAGAACCCTGGAAAATCTACCTCTAAAAACAACAACAAAAACAGTCTAGGAAAATTCCACCTACTGGCCTAGAATGAAGTGATGAGGCCTGTCATCTAGCTAGCAGTCTGACGAGGGGAAGGGGCTCCCGGGAAAAATCAAAGTCCCAGGTATAAGTCTGCAATCCAAGCTTACACACCATCAGATGGGTTCCAGGAGCTGAAGCAAGAAATAGAAACCACAGTGAAGGAACAAATATGGAATTACATGATTTCTAAAAACGAGGTCAATGAAAGTTAAAATTGAGTAGACGAGTATACCAAGAATAGATATAGCTAAAGAGATAACTAGTCAAGTAGAAGAAAGAACCTAGAATAAAATACTCAGAATAGCGGCCTTCGAGATGGCTCAGTGTGTAAAAACAGTTGTTGCCCAGACTGATGACCGGAAGTGTGACCCCCCAGGACCCATGTGGAGGAAGGAGAGAACTGACTCCAAGTAGTCCTCTGATCTCCACACATGTGCTTGTGCTATCACACAAGTAGATAAATATAGTAATAAATAAAATATAAAACAGAATAAGTCAAAGAGAGAAAGGAGATTGAAGAAAACACTAATTCTTAAATAATTCTGAGAACTGGGAAGAGAAGAAAGCAACACTGAAGAGGTAGATGATGAGAATTTTCCAAAACTGATAAGACTTGCATAATCTGATGAAACCTACAAGTACTAAGTAGGATTGGTAAAGGCAAATCCATCACAATGGAACCACAGGTACCAAAGCCCAAGGCAATTCTTAATATGAACTTGAGAGCAAAGAGAGATAATATAGCAACTGAAGTCTACTCCCAGCTGTCTTGACAGGTGCCAAGTTGGGGCTGGAGAGATGGCAGCAGGGAAGGACGCCTGCTGCTCTTGCAGAGGACCAGAGTTCGGTTCCCAGCACCCACGCTGCCAGCTCACAACCACCTCTAACTCTGGCCTCCGCAGGTACACACACACACACACACACACACACACACACACACACACACACACACACAGAGGATGGTTCCTTTAAAAAAGTGTGAAGAAGAATCAGAACTCTTCTATGAACAGAGATGCCTTTTGGGGTTTGAATGTGAGATGTTCCCCATGGACTCACATTTGAACACTTGGTCCCTGGCCGGCAGAGCTATTTTTGGTGACTTTAGAACCTTTAGGAAGTTCCTGGCTGGAAGAAGTAATTCCTGGGAAACAGGCCTGGAGGGTTACAGGCCCCACTTTCAGCCCAAGTATTTTGCTTCCTGGTCTGCGGAGATGTGGGGAGTCTCGGCATATGCTCTCACTGGTGTGAGCTCTGCTGCTTCTGCGGTGCCATGCTGGACTGTACCCTCTGCAGCTGGGAGGTAGAATAAGCCCTTCCTCCCCTAAGTTGCTTCTGTCAGGTATTTTGCTGAGAGGTGAGAAAACCACCTACTACAGTAGCTTCGAGCAAATGCAAACAAAAGGAAAGAAGCCAGGGAGGAACTTTTCTATCCACTTAACAAATGTTTCTTGGTGACATAAGGCCAGGGGGTTTTGCCACCTGGTTGATGATAAGAGCCAGCAATCATCAGCAGCCCTCCAAAGGACACAGAATTACACGGAACTCACAGGAATGATAATATGGAATTAGTATATAAACAGAGCCCTTCCTTGGCAACCGAATCTTTTAGTAAATGACTAACAGAATAAAGAAGACTGTCACACAGATGGAAAAATTACATTCGGCTTACCCAGGACAAGAATGCTGTGGAGAATTTGGAACCACAAAGGAAACAATAGATGAATACAACTCGTGGTGTATTGTTTGGGAACCTCCTGGAGAGCAGCCAGCCCCCTGGAAGGATGCCAAGCACAGTGTCCCCAGGGAGCTGGAGGAGGTCCCACCACCTGTGGCATGGGGGCCACATACTGGCATGTTTCCAGCCTGCATCTGAACACTGGCACCCTGCCAAACATTTCCTGCAGATTCTCTGAGGAACCTGGTGTCCTGGATGCTGGTCTGTAGCACAGAAGGAGATTTATATCAATCTGAAACTCCTCATCCATTCTGTATTCATCATAGGGCCGCCATGAGAATCCTTCCTCCATGTGCAAGGAAAACACCCAATCAAACCAGAATGCAGTCACCCATTTGGTTATATTTTTGTTTCAATTATTTGCTTTTTCACTGAATATTTATTGAGCAGCTTTGTGTTCTTGGTGCTTGCAACATAGGCTCTATACAGCACGAGTCCCACATACAAACTTCAAAAAGAGGACGCCGAGACCATTTTGTTTAGGGATGAATAAAATACATAGATGGTAACTCTACACAGGAAAGCATGAAAATGATCCCCGTAACATTTAAGGTGATAGGCGTATTCAAAGGAGAGGTTAGCAGAGTCTTGGTTGGCAGACCATCCTGCTGCACAGTCTTAGGCTGGCTGGGGAGAGGGACTTCACAGATACGGAGAATGGTGGGATCTGGGCAGCAGACAGGCCCTCAGTGATTGTGGACTCCTCACTCATCCTCCCAGTTTCAATAATCAAAGCATCCCTACTATCCCGGGCAGCCCACACATGACACAGTAGAGGTGGGCGTACAAGTTACTGATGGGCTATAAAGGGGAGACGACTTGGTGGAGGCCTTAGGGACATCTAGTCTTCAAGTGACATCTAGGTAAATCAATAGTAGGCTTAACTACGGTTATCAATAATAAACTTATTTAAAAAAAAAACTAGAAAGACTCATAAAAGGCGGAAGGGAAGGACATCAGAACAGTGCTGGGCAGGTTAGGTGTACTGATATCTTTACACACAAGAGACATTATAAAGTCCAGGGAACGAAACCATTAGGGTTTAATATAGAATTTAAACTCACAAAATAAATATAACAAAAATAACTGGCTTGTCAAGGGCAAGATATGGCTTAGTGTCGCCTGCAAAGGGGCATAAAGGGACTCTTTGGGGTGATAGGGATTTTCTATATCCTCAGGTGGTGGTGATACCAGTACTCGGGTTTGTCAAAATGCGCAGTGACAGGGTGACTTTTACTGTATGCAAATTATAACTCAATGAACATAGGGGAGGAAATAGAAGACAAAAGTAAACTAAATACTTGTCTTTCATATTGGAGACCAAAGAGAATTGTGTGATGCCGTAGGTAGGTGTGTGAGCCGTGCCCTGAAGCACCGCCCCGGTGAGGCAGCTGTAACTGTTACACCTGCCTATGACCTTGAGGTACACGCCCCTGGGGCATGGCCACTTGGGGACCCTTAAGACCTGGGATGCACGTATGCAGCATTGTCTTGGCTACCTCGTGGTTTGGATGCTGAGATCTTGGACCAAGCCATTCAGCATGGGACTTAGCTCAGCTTTCTTGGACCCTATGATAAATTTGGGGATTGTGAGTTTACTCCCAAATAAATTCCTTTGATCATTAAGCTGATTCCGTGGATTGCTAGTGGTTTAATCACATTAGTGTGAAGTTAGCAAATCAACAAACAGCAATATAAGTGTTAGCAAGCACCCCGCCTCACCCCTCACCCCCAAAAAAACCACTGAGCATGCTTCTTGACAGTATTACAGGAGAAAAAGGCTACTTTCTGACTCTATAATTTTGCTGTCTGCCTATTTTTTCAAAACCATTAGCATTTTAAAAAGTCTGAAGGTTTATAAACATGAAGTTGGATGTGGTGGTTCATGTTGGTAATCCTAGCATAGGGAAGCTGAGGTATGGTCTCTGAAGGTTTGAGGCCTGCCTGGACTACATACACAATGAGTCCAGTATGTAGCTTAGGCTACAAAGTGAGATCCTGTCTTGGCAAACAATGACTGAATCAATGGATGGATGATAAACACAGAAGAGTCCCCTAGAAGGACAAAGACCTTCCTTGTCTTCCCCACTGATGCTCTGTGCAGCGATGCATTCAGTCTGGACCACATTGCTGCTCTCTTGGGTCTCGAACAGTTCTTCCTCCCTCCCTCGACTTCCATGGCCTTGAAGTTTGTGAAGATCCAGGCAATTTGTGCTGGTTTGCTGGAAGCATCTTCTGGATCTGACCCACTGAGGTAGTTTGGTCCTGATACCGCAGACAGGATGCTGTGTCCTTACTGCATCCTAGTGGAGTGGTCCTGGGAGACTACCTGTTCTACAAGTGAGACCCTCCTCTTCTGTGCTCCTCACTGTAAAACCGAGTTTTCTCCACTTTATAACTGGTAAGTTTTGTTTTGTTTTCCGAGACAGGGTTTCTCTGTGTAGTTTTGGTGCCTGTCCTGGATCTCGATCTGTAGACCAGGCTGGTCTTGAACTCACAGAGATCCACCTGCCTCTGCCTCTTGAGTGCTGGGATTAAAGGTGTGCGCCACCACTGCCTTGCTTCATCTAAATATCTCAACCACTGTGAGCTCATACACACACATACATACACACATATACTTGCATACATATATATTATATATATATATACACACACACGTATAAATATACAAACACACACACATGCACACATTTATGCACACATGTGCTATATGTTCATACCTGAAATGTCACAGTAAACCGTCTGCTGGTAGAGCCTTGCCTCTAGGGGGTTAAAGTACACGGTGATTTCAGCTGATGAGTTAGGCCAGACATCGCCTTCCTGAAACATGAACAAAAAAGGAAAGCATTGTTTTCAAACCATAATTCCCTGTATTTTTTCATATATTTAAAAAGTACATGAAGTTTTGACACATGTATGGACAGCAAAAGGGTCCTTATGGTCAAGATGCATTTCTTAAGCAGGTCCTTTGGTGTGCCACAGAGCACCTTAGGTCTACTCTTCCCGAATTTCTAACACATGTGTTAACTGCGTGTGTCACGCTGTGCACTGGATCTCCGGGACTCACCGCTGTGTATTTGTGCTGTTCGACCAACACCTCCCTGTTTGCCCATAATCACCCTCTGAGCCCTGGTACCTGCCATTCTATGCTTTGTTTCCACAATTCTGTTTTTAAAGCCTACACACACATAAGAACATGCCTTTCAGGGTCCAGCCTGATTCACTCACCAATATTGTTGCAAATGTCAGAGATGCCCCTAAAGGGTTTTGCATTTATTTACACACTCTTGCA